TTGTCCTTCCCCACGGAGCAGGTAATTACCCCACCGTGGAGATCAAGGATGTGGACAGCCCAGGCGATGCTGCAGAGAACGATGGTACCCCCTTGCCGGTGCCCGCTGCCAGCGCTCCCAACAGGCTGGCGGTGCCCGGCGCAGCATCCCCCAGGTATGGCTCTGCCCAGACGCGGTCCCGGCCCCGGGGACCTCACCCCCTGGTGGTGCCAGTACAGGAAAATTTCTGTAACCATATGGAGCAGCCCATTTCCAGCAGGTTTGGACAGTGAGCCAGGGTGATGTGCGTGGGGCGGGAGTCGCCCCCGTGCACGGCAGAGGAGATGGCAAAAGCCTCGCCTGCTGTTTGCATTTTTTTAATTAAGTGGCTAAATTTTGTTTAAGGCTTTTGAGGACCAGGGACAGCCCTGTCTGTGTGTCCTCCTGGAGATGGGCTTGATCCCCAGGCCGTGATTGGATCCCATTTGTCTGTTGTCTCAAGTGTCTGTGCTCCCAAATTCAGAGCGTGGGGAGTCTGTGTGCTGGATCTGGGCCTTCATCACAAACCCTATAATTTTCTTGTATTTTTGCTGAAAGGGTTTGCAGCATCTCCCCCTGGGTTTGTGCTTTCAGATGGATGGCAGATACCCCGTTGCTTGAAGTGTTCAAGGCCAGGTTGGATGGGGCTTTGAGCAACCTGATCTAGTGGAAGGTGTCCCTGCCTGTCACAAGGGGTTGGACTTTTAAGATCCCTTCCAAAACATTCAGTGATTCTATTCTCAGAGGGATTAAAACTGAGCTTTAAAATTTAGGCTGGAGGAAGCTGATGCTTTTTTGTCTGTTGTTGGGGTGGGTTTTTTCGAAGTTCATTCTTGCAGAGGATTAAAATTCAAAACCAAAGTGGTTTTTTCCATGCTGAAAACCAGGTGCTATAGTCATTCTCACTTAATAGTTTAGATCTTTTAATAAACAAGCTCCTGGAGGACCAAATGAAATGGTGAAAATGTCCATAATCCAGCCTGTTGAACAGCTTTTCAAACTGGGAGAGAAGAGCCCCAAGACTTCATGTACAATCCCTGCAGTGCAAATACTGACAGCATTGAGTATATTTGCAGTTACACATGTGAGCATATAAACCTTTCTGCTGTGTCTCCAGGGACTGTCTCAAAAGAACAGTGGAGGAGGTCCCTTGGTAGAGCTGGAGATTTTTAAAGGCAAGAAACTGCCGTTCTCCTACACAAAAAAAATAAAATTTAATCATTCTGAACCAGAAGAAAAATGCTCCTCTCCTGCTGGTTTTTCCAGAGTAAGAGGACATCAGTTCTTCATTGAGCAGTCACCCAGTTATCCCTAAGTCACTTTTATTTGCCACAGTCTTGAGTTATTTCCTACATGGGTCTGTGAAGGATTAGAGTGAACATGGTTTGGACAGAGTCATAAAAGACTCACCGTTAATGAGCCACACGTTGTGTAACTGGAGCCTCAAAACAGGCTGTTGCAGACAGTAAATACCAGGATATTCCAGCTGATCCCATATGGGCAGGGACCCTGCACGTCCCACATGTCCAGGCAGGTGCAGGACAGCCGGATGCCGATGGCCTCTGGCTGCAGCATTCCAAGGGCCACAAAAACAGAGCAATGTTTGGGCTGTGATGGGGCCTTCTGTCCCAGCTGGCTGTGCAGTGGATGGTTGTGTGTGGGCCAGGTGCTGTAGAGTCTCCCTGACAGAGCAAGAGCCTATCAGTGTGGGCATCCTGGGCTTGATCAGGGATGAGGACGGGCCAGTGGGGCAGCATGGTACCCTGAGGGCACAGAGGCAAGGGAAGGGCAGCTGGAGGCTGGTGAGAGATGATGGATGTTGTCCTAACAACGATACAGACCCTGGCAGGACTATTTCTCCAAGCAGGGTTTTGGAAACCTCTCCACTGACATATGAGAGTGCTTTAACAGTGGGGCTGATGGTTTTGTTCCACCCCCTGTGCTGTGCACTCGGGGAATGAAAGTTTATGAGTCTTGTTTACCTGCTCTCCCTCCCAGCAGGACACACCTGAGAGCCAGTGAGGCTGGAGGTGGTGGGCTCACAGCATTTGGCATTCTTCAAGAGACTTGTGATGGCAGGACAACCTCCCTGCAAGTGTCCTGCTTGCTCCTGCTCCACATGCAGCACTGAGCCATTTTGTACCAGGGCCAGTGGGATCAGCAGCTGTGGGGGCAGGAGACCATTTCTTTGTTGCAGCTGAAATGCTGGGCTTGGTGAAGGTTTGCAAACCAGTCCAGATTTTGTTGTGATTGCCATCTTCATATTCAGCTCTCCTTCTGCCACTTTGCTTGCCCACATGTAAGGAAGTTGTCTCAGAAAACCATCTGTGCCAAGGGGAGCCACCAGCTGTGTTAGGACACATCTTATAGGTATTCCTGGTATTGGACTTTCCTTGCCTGCCTCTTGAAGTGCAGTGATGTGACAGTGCAACACTGGGGACAAGCACAGGGTAGTGCCTGCCCTCTGTACATCTTGCCAGGTGTCCCAAACGGGTTCCAAAGTGGGCTGGGTGGCTGTATGTCTATGGAGCCAAGGGCTCAGTGGTGCCTGGGAAGAAACAGGGCTTTAGCAGCAAAGGAACAGGGGAAAACTGACCCCAGCAGGAGAAGGGGAAGGGGAAAACAGATGACCCCTGGGAGGAGGAGGAGGAGGAGGGAGAAGAGCTGGCTGAGGATGGGAGACAAGCCAATCCTTGGTCGATGTCTTTGTGTCTGCAGGAGGAGGCGACTGGTCCCAGAGGATGGTCTGGACGAGGGACTGGTGAGCTGGGACGAGGAGCAGAGGGAAAGGTGCGTGGTGGGACCTGGGGGCTCCAGATCAGCTGAGTTCCAGGGGTTTGGATCCTGGGACTTGGGTGAAAATAACAAAGATCCTACAAGTGCTGGGATACGAAAGGGAGAAGGAGCCATGCCCGCAGTGGTTCTAGTGCTGCTTAATGAGGAAAGCACCCCCTCTCCAAAAATGATGATCGTGGTGCTCACTGGAGCAGAAACTGTTCTCTTGTTTTTCCTGTATACATGTAGAAATATTCTCTTTAAGACTAGGTGTAACTGCAGAGAAAATGCACCTTTGATCTACATATGCTATAGTGCTGTGGGGACACCTTGTTTTTACTGACTGTGGAGAAATGACCCTTTTCTTCCATGCAGAAAGTGAGCACAAGCTGTGCATCACACTCCCCAGGCCCTGGCTTCCCCACAGCCCCAGGGACAGCCTTGGAGGGAGCTGCCCTCCCTGGGAGGCACACTCCACAGGGAGCATGGTTTTGCCTTTTTCCAGTCATCACAACAAACCAGCCAGGGCTACAGCAAACGAGATTGTTTCTGTCCTCCTCCCTGCTGATGCTTCTCAGCCATGCTAAGCGAAGCATCCTGGTCTGAATCCAAACTGGTTCTAATGAAGAGGCCGAAAAGAGAAGATATAGTTTATAAATTCAGGGGCTTGATGCACATTTTCACCCCATAGTTCTTCTAAAATCATATTCTCCCAAGCACATGCAATCCAGCCTGGGATCTTGGTGCTTCCCAAGCCTTCTGACAGCATCTCACATCCCAGGGGACAGATGAGGCTCAGGGTGGTGCTGCTTGATGATCTTTTACTGAAACAACCTTAGCTTGTGTTCTTCTCATTAGACAGTACCCAAATAAATATGGGTAAATCCTAATTCAGGTCCTGTGAGTTAAAGGATGGGTCATGGCCGTGGTTCAAGGCCAGGTTGGATGGGGCTTGGAGAAACCTGGTCTACTGGAAGGTGTCCCTGCCCATGGCAGAGGGGTTGGAACAAGATGAGCTTTAAGGTCACTTCCAAGCCAAACCATTCCAGGATTCTGTGATTCTGTGAACCTGCCCTGGTGTTTTCCTGCCTGCATGAAACGCCCGATGGTTTGCCCGCAGCCTGCCCGAGCGCATCGGCTCGGCCACGAGCCTGAGCAGTGCCATCATCAACACCCGGCTCCAGGAACTGGTGAAGCTCTTCAAAGAGAGGACCGAGAAGGTGAAAGAGAAGCTGGTTGACCCCGATGTCACCTCGGATGACGAGAGCCCTGTGGCATGTGAGTTCCAGCGGGGCTGGGAGCGTTTCGCTGGCGGGTCCCCACGCACGCTGTGTTTTCCGGGAGACAGATGTTTTGTTTACAGTTTAAAGACCTTAAAACAAATTGCAGTAACAAGATTTTTTTTCTCCACTTTAACCTCTCCCAGCGCCCGCTAAGCCAGCGCCTGCAGCAGCACCGGTGCCTCCCCTGGGAGGGGAGGTGGAGGAGGACAAGCCATCAGGGGATGACCACTACTGTGAGATGCTGTGCTGCACCTTCAAGTACCGGCCCTGGCTGGACCGCCTGAAAAGCTACCAGTTCCCCAGCAGCATCGACCCACTCACCAGTGAGTGATGGAGCACAGCCTCATGCCTGGGCTGGGGGCAAGCTGGTGGGACCAGGGGAGAGGGGCTGAGCAGGGGAGGAGGTGCAGGTGAGGAGATCTTATAGAGAGGAGACATTATAGAGAGGAGAGGAGAACTAAGCAAGAAGCAACTTAGCTTTCACTAAAGCCTAGAGTTTTAAATATCTCTGCAAGGCATAGGCTTTCCTAAATATTTCCTGATAGCTGTGCGTGTCAGGAGCACAGCTGGGCAGGGAAGGGACAGCCACCTTCTGCTTTCAGGCTTTTCAGTGGGAAAACGCTGTCCCTGTGGTGTGGATACCCCAAATAAAAATAAAAGTCACAAAAGAAATATCAGCTGCCTGGTGGCCACTCCACAGGAGCCCAGCTCTTTCCTTAGCCTCTGCTATTCCCCATCCCTTTGGAAGCCCCTGGGCTCAGGCCATCAGTTCAGCATGGCTGCAGGGGGAAAAGCAAAACAGGGAAGTCTGTGTTGTGGCAGCAAAGGAAAAGCAAACCTAGTTGAATGAGCAAAGCTGGAAGCTTCCCAACAAAACACAGAGTGCTCTGTGACTGGTGCTGTTCACTCTACACCAGAGCCCAGCTCACCTGCGGCTAAATGCTGTCACCAAGAGACCTCCTGCAGGGTTCCAAGTTGTGCTCAGGGCAGGTCAGGGCATGAAAACCCTGGGATGTCTGCCCAGCTGATCATGGTGCTGTTCCCTGTGTGCAGATCTGATGTATGTACTGTGGCTGTTCTTCGTTGTCATGGCCTGGAACTGGAACTGCTGGTTGATCCCCGTCCGCTGGGCTTTCCCCTACCAGACCCCAGCAAACATCCACTGCTGGCTGCTGGTGGACTACCTGTGTGACCTCATCTACCTGCTGGACATCCTCGTGTTCCAGACCCGGCTGCAGTTCGTCCAGGGGGGAGACATCATTGTGAGTGGCACATGCTGCATCCACCACTGCAGGGACCGGCTGGGGGGGCCTCCCATCCCCATCCCCATCCTCAGACCTCTGAGTTGAGCTCTCCAAGCTCTCACACCACGGCTGTGGACGCTCTTGGAGACTGCAAGCATCTCTCCTGACATGTGGTGGATAAGCCAGCTGTCTTTTTGTCTACCAAACACACATTTGTCCCCTAGAGGCAATACCAGCCCATCTAGAAAACGCATGGTCCGTGGCAGCCCCGTTCCTGGGAAGGGATGCCAGGAGGGTGCTGCTCTGTGGGGTTGTTCTGCCCATGGTGTGAGGTGCTCACTGACCAGCCCTGGTGTAGTTGTGCCCTGCTAACCATGGGCATGGGCATAAAAAACTCTTGAGTTTGATTTTCAGGAGCAGACTGGGCAGAATGCATTAGCAATTGCAATCTGAACACACAGATCACATGCCTGACAAGAGGGAAAGCCCTTGATTTTGTTTCCAAATTCAGTTAAATAAGCTGTGAAAAATCAAACCTTGAGGGTACAGCCTTCCCATGACCATGCAGATGCTCAGGCAGGCAGGTTCCTCCTGTAAAGTCTGTTTTTTGTGAGATTGCCACTGTGATGTGCTTTCCCTGGGATGCAAAACAAGCACAGGATGTCCCAAGACAGGATGGGAAGATGGCATATGGCCAGGTCTTCTGCTTGTCTGATTCTGCTCCCATTCCTGGAAATGAAGGGAAGATCTTCCCTGTTATGGTGCAGAAAGGGAAAACCAGGCATGAGCATGTTGGCCACGACTTTGCTTTCTGTAAGCAACGATCAATCTGCCCCTCTCTCTCTCTCTCTTCTTCCTGTTCCCAACCAGACTGATAAAAAGGCCATGAAAGAGAACTACCTGCGATCACAACGTTTTAAGGTTTGCCATAATTTTATTTATTAATCTGAATCTTTAATCTGCCCCGTGGTTTGCAGCCCCATCCCAGTGCACCTGCAGGTCCCCTCAGAGGCTTCTCTCTTTGTGTGGATTTCAGATGGATGTGCTGTGCCTCCTGCCCCTGGATTTCTTCTACTTCAAAATTGGTGTCAACCCGCTCCTGCGCTTTCCTCGCTGTCTGAAGGTGAGTTGGAGTTTACAAAATCAGGCAGAATAGCACCTACAGTGGATTTGGAGGAGTTCTGTGCTGCTGGGGTGAACTATGGCTTGCTAAACTCATTAATGAGGACAAGAGGATTGTAAAATGTAAGGGAAGTCTTATCCCAAAGGCTTTGCAGTGCTGTTTGTCAAATCTTCATTTCAATACTAAGCCATGCTCACATTTGAATAGAAGGGCACTTATAGATGGACCCAAATCTGTCCATGGCAGCCTGTGCTGCAGGGGGGCTGCAAGAGGGAAGCAGAGGGGCAGTGGGGCTTTATGGGGAGGTGACTGTCCCAGTGGGGGCCACAGGAAGCTGGAGCATGCTGCTTTCCTTCTCCTCCCAGTACATGGCCTTCTTCGAGTTCAACAACCGCCTGGAGGCCATCCTGACCAAGGCATACATCTACAGGTGAGGGGGGGCCAGGGAAAGGAGGGAGTGTGGAGTTGCTGTTTGCCACTGGGGAGGAAGGTTCACTTTGGTGTGCACCAGTTCCGGGCTCCTGGTTTATTTTCCTGCCACCCCTGGGCTGGCTGATGTGGATGTTGGCTGATGAAGCAGCATGTGGGGCTCCCCGAGCCCATGGGGGTAGGATCATCTCTCTCATGGTTTTTTCTGGCTCTTCTAGAGCTGCAGGGCTGCAGGAGGGAGCAGCAGGGTGCATGTTTGGGTGCTCTGTGATTCCTGCAACGGCAGGACCTCTCGGTCATCGTTTTGAGGCTCCTTGTGATGCTGGGGGTGGTAGTGGGGACATATTTCTCCCAGAAGACACTATATCATCTCCTTTTCTGCTCTCTCCTGGTTCTTTTTGCAGAGTGATTCGAACAACTGCCTACTTACTGTACAGCTTGCATGTGAACTCCTGCCTCTACTACTGGGCCTCAGCCTACGAAGGACTGGGCTCTACCACCTGGGTCTATGATGGGGAAGGAAACAGGTACAAGCCAGGGCTTGGATCTTACACAGCACAGCCTGCTGGGATGAGCTGAAGTAATAAGGGAGGTGTTGGGGTGCAGCTGGATTCATAAAAACCCTGGAAGGAAAGGGTTGGGAGTGCCAGGAGAAGATGTGGAGCATCCTTTGCTAACAATTTGTTCACAAACCCTTATTCTCCCCTGATGATTTCTGAAAGTGTAAATGTTGCTGAAAACACATTGCTGGTTTATGGCAGTGGTGCTGTAAGGAGCAGCCAGAGCAGCTGAGCCTCCTACATGGAGGTTTCTGGAGAATCTATAGGTCCCCCTGCTCCTGTAGCACCTCCAGAAGCACCTGCAGGTGTGGTGGGGAGTCTGAAGCCCTTCAGTTTTTCCCTCTGTCACCCATAATTACTCTCAGCAGGCTCTGGCTTGCCATGGCCAGAGGACATGAGCTCAGTGCAGAGGGGTGAAACAGGCCTTCATGCCAGAAATGCCTTCAGAGCTGCCTCCTCTTTCCCTCCCAGCTACATCCGCTGCTACTACTGGGCAGTCAAAACCCTCATCACCATCGGGGGCCTGCCAGACCCCAAGACACTGTTTGAGATTGTCTTCCAGCTGCTGAACTACTTCACAGGCGTCTTTGCTTTCTCTGTCATGATAGGGCAGGTGAGTGGGAGTCACGGAGGGTTCCCAGCCTCGGGTGGGGATGGTTGCAGTGTGGTTGATCCGCAGGTTTGCATCTTCAGGTTTGTTTTTCCCATTTGAGGACCTGCCTGGCACTGGTGCAAGGCAAAAAGTACTTGCTGGGTGCTGTTAGGGCTCGGTTTACACACTCTAGACTGCTCGAGTGATGGATAAGTGACAGCAACTAAAACTTTTCTTCCACCTCTTCCGTTCAGATGAGGGACGTGGTTGGCGCCGCTACTGCAGGGCAAACTTACTACAGGAGCTGCATGGACAGTACCATTAAATACATGAACTTCTACAAAATCCCCAGAACTGTTCAGAACCGGGTGAAAACGTGGTATGAGTACACGTGGCACTCGCAAGGCATGCTAGGTGAGACCCAGCCACTCCAAGGGCTGTGTTTTACTGTGGTTGTTTTGCAGGGCTGAAATGTTGCTGTCAAATAGCACTGCAGTTTTGGGGTGTAGGGTGACTTATTTTGCTCTTCACTACTGGCTCACAGCACTTTGGTGACCTGGCATCACTCATAGCAGACTGAGTCCAGTGTCCCACATGCTGGTCCCTGGGGAGAGGGCAATCACTGGCCAGAATGTGTCCAGCAGCAAAGATACTAGCTCACTGTACCAGGCAGGACCAGGACCTCTGTGCCCATCCTCCTGGGCAAGAAAGATGATGGCTTGGGCTCAGTGGTGTGTCTGAGAGCCATCAGGGGGCAGGGATAACGTGAAGGGTGGTTCTCCATCGCCCCTTGGATTTAGACCTGCAGGTTGCTGGGTGGGCAGAGGCTGGAGGGGCCCATTCTGGGAGAGCTGGCTCCTGCCCTCTGCCACCGGAATGTGAGTTGCTTCCCTACTGCCACGTCAAGGACATGCTCTCATACCAAGAGCTGGAAACAGCCAGTTTTCTGCTTTGTCTCACAGATGAGTCAGAGCTGCTGGTGCAGCTGCCAGACAAGATGAGGCTGGACATCGCCATCGATGTGAACTACAACATCGTGAGCAAAGTGGCCCTTTTCCAGGTATCCCCTGCAGCACGGGTCCTGCCTGGCAGAGCCTGCCATGCTGACACAGACTTACACCATGTTGGCTCTATTTTGGCTCAGGGTTGTGACAGACAGATGATCTTTGACATGCTGAAGCGGCTCAGATCAGTGGTCTACCTGCCTAATGACTACGTGTGCAAGAAGGTAATGTGACATGTGATGCTTGGGTGCCCTCCCATGCCCGGTGTTACAGCCAGGCTGTGCAGGGCACTAGGGGAAAGCCAGGCCTGGCCCATCACCCTGGTGTTGAGCCACTTCACAGGGAGGGAATCTGGAGCAAAATCATCCTTGGTTGCAGCCATTAACAGCAGGAGACCAGGGAAGAGCCTGTCGAGCTGCAGGAGACCTTGGGGTGCTTAGATGGTGCTCAGGAGTAAACACCATCAAGACAAAGAATTTTGGGAGCTTGGAGAGGGCAGTATGGTCATGGGAGTTTCCAGCAAGATGCTGGTTAGGGCATCCATGAGGCCTCCCTGCTTCTGGGCATGCCCCCCAGCACCCCTCTTCCCTGCAGGGAGAAATAGGCCGTGAGATGTACATTATCCAGGCGGGACAAGTGCAGGTGCTGGGGGGACCCGATGGCAAATCCGTGCTGGTGACTCTGAAAGCTGGATCCGTGTTTGGAGAAATAAGGTGAGAGAAGCATTCTCAGGGAAACGGGGAAATATAGCTCATGGGCTCTGGGAGAGGAAGGTGGGAAGTGGGAGGATCAGCAGCATCCCAGTTATCTCTGTGATTGAGAGCCGTGAACACTGGGCAGCGGCTGAGACACAGATCACAGGGTTTTTCCTTGGAGCTTTTCTGCTGTTTTTGTCATCATGTTGTTTTCGGCATGGGGAGCTGGTGATGTTAAGCAGAGGTACATGGATGGAGGGGTGAGAAAATGAATAAGAAAAGATGCTTCACAAAAACAGTCTCACAGCCATTTAATCCACCCATTTCATGGGCATGCAATGTCCTGTACCAGTCTGTAACACAGGGATGCTGCTGCCTCCCTACAGCCCAGCAGCCACTGGACTGGTGTAAAACACAACATTCAACCCTCCAAACCCCCAAATCATTTTTTATATAGTGCAGTATGCAAATTTCCCTTCAAAAATTAGATACGGGAAATTCCATCGGGAGTGAAAATTACGCTCTGAGTCCTCTGAAAGAGAGAAATGGAGGCATGCAAAAGAGACCTGAAGTTGTGCTGAGCCTGTGAGCAGAAGCACTGACATCTTGCCGTGTCTCTCTCAGCTTGCTGGCGGCAGGAGGGGGAAATCGCCGAACAGCAAACGTCATAGCTCACGGCTTCGCGAACCTTTTCATTCTGGAGAAGAAGGACCTGAACGAGATTTTGGTGCACTATCCGGAGTCTCAGAAGCTGCTGCGTAAGAAGGCCAAGTGCGTGGGGTTTTTAAAAATAGCAGAGCCCGGATATCAGAGTCTCAGAGGAGATTTCCCTCTGTGCGAAGCCCCGGGAAAGCTCCTGCTGCAGGTGCTGGGTTCTCTCTCCCAGAGGCGGGTCCCGCTCCGGGCTGGATCCGCTCTGCCTCGGCAGAGGGCACCCGTCCCTCGTCGCTGGGCTGGGGAGGCTGGGGCTGCCCCAGCCCTACTCTGAACCTTCGCCACTAAAAGCGGGTGGAGCTGGGGAACGAACGTGGCCAGGGTGCCTTCGTTTAAAAATCTATTAAAGTATTTAATTTTTAGCATTACTTATTATTCTGTCCTTCCTAAGGCATAACAAATCCCGGCCCTTTTAACGCCTGTTTTTTCCTCGCTATAAAATCCAGCTAATAGAACACGTTCCCGGGCTGACATCATCTCTCCCTTTCCTTGCTGCAGGAAAATGCTGAAAAGCAACAACAAACCCAAAGACGAGAAGGGAGGCCCTGGAGACGCGCTGATCATTCCCCCAAAAGCTGAGACCCCGAAGCTCTTCAAGGCTGCCCTGGCTGCCACGGGGAGGATGGGGGGCAAAGGGCCGCTGGGGCGGCTCCGCTGGAGGCTGAGGGAGCTGAAGGAGATGCAGGCGGCGCAGGTCAGCATGGGGAGGATGGAAGTTTAGCTTTGCTTCATTAGATGCCGAGTCTCTGCTCCCTCCCCCCTCCCCACGGGCTTCAGACTCGTTAAGGTGCCTTAAGGAAGTGAGCTCAGGTCATCAGGCACTGACACAGCGTGGGCAGATGGGAAGGGGTGACCCAACATCTCCAACAGGGCCTTGGGAGAACGCCAGTGTCCCACAGGGGTTTGTTTTGCAACACAGGAGGGTAGTACACTGACTTTTTGCCTAGCTCTGCTAAGCCTGAGTGTAATTTCTAGCTGGGCTGTAGCCACAGATGGAATGAATGCCTCTTGCATCCTGCAGAGACAGAGCCTCTCATAATTAATCGATGTGCTGGTGGGACAGAGGGCAGTGCTGGCACCGAGCACCCACAGCCCAGTCAATATATCAAAGCTTTCCTGGCACAGCTGGGGCAGAGGCCCCCACAGCAGGCACTGCTGTCCCACTAGCTCTGCATGAAACCCCCTGCTTTTTTTCTTTCTTTCTTTTTTCTTCCAACTGTCTCAGCTAAACTTGAAAACAAAGTTTTGTCCTGTTATTGCTCTCCCCAGCATGGAGCCACGCAGGCTATCACATCTGGACACGCAGAGGGAGGTGGAAGAGTAGCTGATAGGGAGGGGTGGCCTTGAGGCTGGGTAAACAGCCAGGAGATGCCAGGCATAGCTGTATTTCTGCAGGCCTTCACAGAGGCACAACAGAGGCTTCACAAATGTGGTGTTCAGCACTAATTCATGACCAGTTCATGGCAGTGGTGAACAGAGGCACTTCGGGCTCCATAGGGCAACAAGGCCTGTCACTGAAGGGTGCACATTTTGAGAACCAACCCCACTAGTGGGTTAGCAGGACCCCACTGCTGGAAAGACATCCCTCTCCATAGCACATCCTTAGGACAGGTTTCCAAGGCTCCTCTCTGAAGGAGGAGCAGTCTGGGGCTGCTCCCTCACAACACCACTTCTGCCACGTTTAGCCCAGATCAGCCCCTCCAGATGCTTGAGGAGCAAAGCAAGAGCTAGTGCAGGAGGTGTGAGAAGGCTCTGTTGCACTCCTCTCTATGTGTTTCTCAAGACATGCAGGATATAATCCAGCTGCCCCTCTTGCAGGGGGCAACTCTGGCAACAAAATGACATCCCAGTGTATGTGGTGGAACCACAGAACAGCTGCCTGCCTTTGCACAGTGCAGACACTCTGTTGGGGGTACTGGGCAAGCCTCTGCTAAGGTCGATTTCACCTTTTTTGTTTGTTTTTATTGCAGGGTTCCAGTTTCAGTCCAACCCCACCAAAGTCACCAGTGCACCAGAGATCTCCTGTCACCTCCCACAAAGACCAAACCCGCCCAGGAGAAATATCCTCAGAATCTTCTGATCGTTTAGTCACCGTTCGTGTGATTCCCACGGCACAAGAAGATGAGGAAATCCTCGCTGCCGAGATTTCAGAGAAAGAAGACAAAGAAAAAGGAGAGAAATGAAACAGCAGCATGTCCTGGGGCAGGCGTAGGAGTCAGGCAAATGCCTGGGGTAGCAGATTTTTGTTATTAATGATTTCCATGCGGTGGCTGTAGGCTTTGCAATGTGCTGCGGGTAGGATCTGCCTCTCTTTTCTGTCCAGACCCTCATTCCCTGCTGATAAAACCCTCTGCCATTTGACCCAGAACCATACAAGCCTTCCATGCTCTGCAGATCAATATTTATTGAGCATCTTTATGAATTTCCCACTAAATCTCAGGCCAGCCCTCTTGCTTTGAAATCCAGCTTTATGGAGGGAGAGCTCTGGAAGAAATTGCTTTTTATGGCTCTGGATGGTTAATGAGTGTTCACATAAAGAGTGAAGAGTTATTCACCTCTGACAGCTGAGTCACTGCTCGGCCAGAAACAATCGGGGGGAAAAAAATAACAAGGTTTCTCTGTTGGGCTCAAGGTTGACAGCGGCAGTGGAGAGTGATTCATCCGGAAAGGATGCGGACTATGCTCACGAGCCGAGCGTGGAGCAAATCACACTGTCACAAGAATGCCAAGGTCTGTCCCCGAGTGCACAGTCTGCAAGGTACTTGAGGGTCTCTGCGTGGTGCCAAGGCCACCTTGAGTTTGCCACTGGGAAGAGTTCCTGCCAGCAATCCACCCTGGGAAGGTGGTGGGGCCTCCGTCACTGCAGGGTCTTGTGGAGAGATTTGATGAGCATCTTTCAGGGATGGAGAAGCACAATCCTGGATGTTCCTGGAGTTCCTTTCTAGCCCTGGGTTTCCATGGGTGCACCAACCTGCCAGTGCTGGGAGAGATAAACAGAGGGCAGGAAGGGAGAAGCTGAGTTGGTTCCCAGCTGGGAGGGGAAAGAGAAGTGCAGTAAGTGCTCTCCTCTCCCAGACAGTGTTTCAGAGTCAGCTCAGGGTCTGTGCCACACAAGCAACTCTGCACAACCGTGCAGGTGCTCCCCTGCAGTCACTGCTGGACCTCAGTGACATCCACTTTTCCACCAGCTGATTTCCAGCCCTTCAGTCACTTGACTGGCTCTTGGCCACATTTCCCATGCAGGAGCCACGCTGGTATTGCTCATTGCTGCGACAGGGCACTTGTGAAGACACTCTCCCAGTGCTGGGACTGGGCACTGGAAGGGAAGTGAACATCTGATTAGCAGCCAGCACACCCAGCTGATGGCTCAAGGTGTCTGATCTTCTCCCAGCACCACCAGGTCCTCTTCTTCCTCAGGCCCAGCACCAACCAGAGCAGCTGCTGGTGAGCTGAGAGGTGGTGAGAAGTGGGATGGCACCAAACAAGGCACTGCAGATCCTCCCCAAGGTTTTTGCTCACCACATCCCCACGGCACCGCCGGCTCCATTGAGAGGAGACAGTTTCCATCCTCTGGAGGAAAAGCTGGGGCAGGTTTTGCCGCAGGGAGCAGCCCCATCTCCACAGCCAAGGGGCTTCTCAGGTGTTCAGCAAATCCTGTGAGCAGTGCTGCAGGTTCTACAGGTCTGGCTGTGAGACAGCCAGGGCTGTTCATGCAGGGTGTCAGCTCTGGCATCACCTCCCCGGGTGATCCCTCTTCCCATCAGGAGCCTGGGGCTGACCTTCACCTCCTTTGGGATCCTCTTCTTTTGTTGCTTCCCCCCCCCCTTGCAAAATAGATGGGTTTCTGCGGCAGAAAAAGCCAGAATAGATATAGCATTAATTAACAATGGCTTGCTTTCTTTTAAACAAATTTAATGAGCTCCACTGTAATGCAGGAGAGTCTGAAGCCACCACTGCCCTTCACATTGCAGGGGAGAGGCTGCATTCACCCAAACCTCCCTGAATATTTCTCGTCCTCAGTCATTTGCAAGTGGTTTCCTGCTGGGTGGAAGGTTTCCGTGCAGAGTGCAAAGTATTTTCTTTTCACTCTATAAACATTTATATAATCAAACCAGGAAATGTGCAAAAGTCAAACTGGGGCTCTGATTTGCTGCTGTGGTTTGATACAGTTTAGAAAAAGCATTTAAGTAAATAGTGAGGTGTAATGGCTTTCATAATTCACTGTATCTACAATAAACACCACGTAGATTACCGTTCTTTTGCTGTGGATTTATTTCAACATTCCAGTTGTTTTCCCACTTTTTGCTCACTGATGCACCAACAGAGCCAGAAAGTCCTGAACATGCAGTTCACAGATTTTTCCAATAAATTATTTAGAGGTCACATAATACTGGCAGAATGATTGCAATTTTTATTTTAATCACCAGCAGGAGGGAAAAACTCCTTCTTAAACGGCAAATATTGCTTGAAGATCTTAGTTTTCAACATGCAGCATGAGATGGTGATGGATACACGACTGGTAATTCTGGAAGCACGGGGACATCTGAAATTATCCTTCCCTGTGTTCTGTTTACGGCTTTAGTTCTTTGGAGGGATTACTCTCCAGGTAATAATTAAGGTCAAGGTAGGGCTGGGCTTATGAGCTGGGCTGGGAAGTTGAGCTCAGGTCTATTTGCTGTGCAGGACTATTTAGAGGTGACAGGGAGGCTGAGGAGACTTCAGTGCCTCTTGGTTTGGGGGTTGCCATGAGCTGGCTTTCTGCTGAATTTTGTAATTCCACTCATTTACCAGTTTTGCTGTATTTGCAATGGGCTTCTTTGCATTTGTTCCAGCAAGTATCTCACAGTGGGCACTTGTCACTCCGCGTCCCCTACAACTGCCCTTGGAACGTTCCTGATGGATTTGGTAATGCTCCATGTACCTTTACTGCATTTCTTATCAGCTTTTGCTCCTTCCACTTGGTGTCCTCAAGTCTTGGGTCCATCTGATATGATATCCTCTAATAATATGCATGCAGTACTTGAGGGATCTTGCCAGGCAGCTGCTTATTGCCATAGAAACCAGGTTTTCTTGCAGTGATATTTTAGCTGTTGCTACTTTTTAGTGAAATACGTGGAATAGAGGACTGCTGGAGGAGGAAGCAGAGCTTGCTGTTGGAGCTGTAGGAATGTGACAGGTTTTGCCTCACTATCACAAGCAGCATCTTTACTGGAGGCTTTATATATACTGTTTACATATATAAAAGTATTAATATAATACACATATATACTTTTTATAGTCATATTCCCTGTGACCTGTGCTGTTATGTCTTTCAGAGAACTGATACTGATTCAATGCTCTGTATGAAGTTAAAGAAGACAAATGTCTTTAAAAAAATCAGTCATCTGATGGTGGAGGAAGTTGGTTTCCCCTGGATAGAAACAGGGCAGGTAGCTTCTCTGTATTTATAGCCAGAGCAATCTTTTAAAAAGATTAAGTGCAATTGCAGGTTAATCACTGATAAGGTTGTAACGAAAGTAAAAGCAAATAAGCAGGTTTGAGGATTAGACTCAGGTCCAGAAAGAAATTTCAGGATAAATGGAAAGCCCAGTTAAATGGTGTTCAATTAGAAAGCCTGAAATAAAATTAAGCACTTTAACCTTGAAGCCTGTAGACCTTAACCAGCAGGACACAGCCCTAGGTCAGAGAACAGTCTGTAACCCACTTTTTCTGCCTATATATAATTTTTTTCCCATGCGTAGCTCTGCTTTGAGTCATGGTTGCATATAAACCCCTCAGAATCCCTTTTATCTTCCTCTTAAATGGAGCTAACAAAACTCTGGTTTTCTCTGTCCTGAGCAAGCAGCTCCTTTTAAGTGCAGAAATGGTCCCACTGGAGTTAACACCCTGAAAAACAGCCAGACCACCATTTGGGAAGGGGTCACACAGAGGTTCACAAGCCCACAGGTGCCCATGCTAGTGTTTATTAACAGCTCAGCTTAGGCTGAGCTCAGGCTTGATGACCTTTTTTCCTTTTCTCATTCTTTCCTCATTTACCCATTCTTATTTTGGGATGAAACTCGCCCACCTTGGTTCATGTCATAGGGTGAATGTCTTAGGGAGACCTGCACAATATCAGTGAGTTGGGTGTGAGTTCATCTGAAGAAGAGAAGCCTAGAAACCCACATTATTTCATGTAGCTATTCCTGCTTTCAGAAGTCAGTTGATACATGAGAAGAGCTGGAAGTCAAACAGTTAAACTCTCAAAACTTCTTTCTTGGACAAATTGGAAGGGATTTGAGAAGAAACGTAAACAACTGGAGAAGTGAGATAAATCAGGTTGTGGGGATTGATGATATGGGGTGGCCAGGGAACACCCCTGCCAGCTCTGGGCTGTCACACCCCCAAAGTGCTCCACACGGTTTTGCAGGTGCTCACTTTGAAAACTTGAGCTTGCCAGGACAGCCACTGCTCCCTTCCCAGCTCTATCTGTCAGAAGAGGTGGGGAGGAGGGCTCTGCATCCACACAGCAGGACTGCTGCCCTGGCCCCCTGCGGAACATCGGGGCCTTCTGGAGCCTCCCATGTGTCTCCTCGTGGATGGTCCGGATCCACCCCAGGATGAGCACCACGTGGATGGTCCGAATTGGCCCCAGGGTGGGCATCACATGAGCCGCCCCGTGCAGCTCCGTCTTAGCAGTAACCGAAGGAATGAAGACCAGCCAGACTAGTTACTCATTCTAGATAAGAGGCTCTTTTGTGCTGCAGAAATACCAACATCACGTGAAAATCCCTCCGCTGCCATGGTTACTGGCCACCGTCAGAGCCGCCAGCGAGACGGGACTGGAAGCACTGACAGGGCTTCTGGTCTCCCTTTCACAGGGGGGGAACTCCAGCCATAAAACCCGCACTCTACCCCAAAAAGGAGGGGAGACGGCTGCAGGGACTTCCGAGCCCTGCCCACACCCGGCATCGCGATGCTGAGAGCTTGTTGTGTACCGGCTCTGCCCTGCCACTGGGCATTTGGCTCTGGGTTTTATGAATTCCTCACTAATAACCTGAGATATTGTTTAAAAAGTGAGAAAATTGTGCTGCTTCCTGGGTGGGCTCTGCCCCGTTTCCTGGTTTTCTGGCATTTAGGAACAGCTTGACCTCTTGGCACTCTCGCTTTTTGCACTAATGCTTTTCTCATTAAAGTGCTTTCCTGAACACTAATTAGGGCGGTTTTCCTTTTGTAAATTAGCCTGATACGATCTGTGTGTCTTGGCAGACACCCTTGGAGCAGGAACCCAAGGCTTTGCGTTTGATCGCTGTTTATTTTGCAAATCTCCCCAGTTTCACTGCTCTTAACTGCCTTCTAGAAAGTGCAGGCAGGTGGAGATTAATGGGAGGGAAATGGGGCTTTCCAGTTGGCCTGCCTTGAGAAACAGGAGAGTTTTTGGTGCTACAGGGGCCTTCCAGCCTCTGCGGGTTGTTGGGGTGGTGTGGGCACATGAGATCCTTCCCATCCCGCCCCGGCATCCTCGCCTGCTGTGTGGTGGAGGAGCAGGTCTGCAAGCAAAGGCACTGCCTGAACCAACCTTTTGACAGGTGACAGAATAAAATATCTGATTAACACGCTCATTCTGTGCAATTAAAGCACTTCTCCTGACTATAGCAATTGCTCAGACCTGAGCAACCCATCTAAGTACGGATGCCTGCAGAGGGAGGGAAGTCCACCTGTCTGCCACTGCCCCTAAATCGGTGGTGTCAGCAATTTGCTGGGGACCAATGGTGCTCAGGAGGGGCTGGACGTTAATCAGCTCTCATTTTCTTAATGCACTGGCAGATGGGAGTGGAGGGGACGGTGCTTTCTCTGTCTCTGGTCACGGATGGGACAGAAACGCAAGTGATTTATATGGGGTGAGAAATTCAGCAGTGAAGGAGACACTGAGCACGGGAAGCCACCCTCTGGCTTCACTCACTGGGAAGGCTGGCAGTGAGTGGAGCATCCCTGGAGGGTCCTGCTACCCTGGCTCTGCATCAGCACTGGGACCCTCCTGGTACCAGGCACTATCACGGACCATCTTTACAACAGCATTTACTCGCCCTCAATAAGGGAAGAGGAGAACTGCAGGGGCTTCACTCGGAGACCCCTGAGGCTGGGACAGAGTGACAAAGCCCTTGAAGAAAAGGCAGCGATTTTCCAGTGCCAGTGTGCCAGGAGTGTGGCACCAGGTGTGGAAAAGTGTGGTGAAGCATTCCACCCCAGGGAGCTGCTGCTGCCAGCACAGCCTCACCATCCCAGCCGGCTCCCAGCGTCCTAGGGAGGCTTGAGGGGAGGTTCCCACAGACCCTCTCTGGAGCTCAGCATCCTTTCCTGGGCTGTGCTGAGCCATGCACACACTGTGGGCACTGGCAGGACTGTCAGTGCAGGGCTGGAGCAAGGGGAGCAGCAAGAGGAGCGGGATGCAGGCTGTGCAGAGCATCCCTGCCCGCGGTGAGGACGGTGAGCGGCGCAGCCTCCAGGGGTGTTTCTGCCGACCCGTGGGCACGGTGTGGAGACTGGCCTGTGGAGGAGGATGCTTCTGCAAAATGCACCCAGGACCAGGGGTGGCCTGGATGGGCCCACAGGTGAGAGCAGTGGTGGGGGCTGGGGGTGAACAGGGCATGGTCTGTTTCAAAAGCAAAGGCTGAGGATGAAAACCAGCAAAATGCCTCTGGATTGGAGTCGTGTTCACAAAACGTGCCTGGATGTCTGCACACAGGCTCTGTATTTATTTTGCTGTTTTTTGTTCCCTAGGGGTTAATTCAGCAGCACTTTTTGTCTGGTGGGCTGAAGGTGAAGATAGGTGAACAGAGATATCTGAGCCCCAGAGAGCCCTGGTCCCACCTCACTTGGGATGCTGAGCACCCCAGCCATGCCTTGGTCCCACCTTGTGTACCATTTCCTTCTCCACCTCATCCTTGTTTCACCTGACAGCTCTCTTGGATCTGCAAATAGATGTGAAAGCCCATGAAGGTTTACATGAAATTCCCAGCAAGCTGGCAGTTATTCCTTGTCAGTCTGCATAAACCCTTATGACTATTCCTCCTGCCTGTGCTGCCAGCTTTTCCTTAATGTCTCCTTGTTTTTCCAGTTGTGAGTGATCGCTGAAGGGATCTCCTGGCAGGGAGGACTCAGGTTCACCCTTCACATCCCTTTCACCTCTAAGGCACATGCATGAAAATATGGGTGTGGGTCTGCTCCTCTTCATAAAGAGAAATTAAATCTGCTCACGCGGCGCCGGGTGCCGG